GGCCAGGCACCACTTCTAACTCACTGAATTGTTACAACAACCCTGAGGTCAAAATGGTTAGCGGTCTCACTTCACAGATGAAGAAACCGAGGCACAGAAGTTACATAACTGGCCCGAGGTCACACATTTCTCTCCAGAAAAAGAAGAGGAAGACCAGGAATGGGTAGATCATGGCAGGAGAGAGAAGAAGGTATGCAAAGTTACTAAGAGACAGAAAAAATGGGAATTAAGCCTGTGGCTAAGCAACAAGTTCCCACTGTATAGCACAGGAAATTATATTCAATGAAGTGAAGTGAAGTGAAAGTTGTTCAGTCCTGTCCAACTCTTTGTGACCCCGTGGACTATACAATTCTTGGAATTCTCCAGGCCAGAATACTGGAGTGGGTAGTCTTTCCCTTCTCCTGGAGATCTTCCCAAAAGTTAAAACCAAGGGACTTCCCTGGCAGTCCAATAGTTAAAACTCTACACTCTCAATGCAGAAGGCACAGGTTTCGATTCCCTGGTTGGGGAACTAAGATCCCATATGCCATGGGTGGTGCAGCCAAAAAAATAAAGAAAGGATGGGGGAAAGGTGGGGCCCTTTAACAGAGAGATAGAGGGAGATAAGCCAGTGGATTGGTGAATACGGGGGAAATGGCTTTAGAGGGTGGTAGGAGCTAAGGTCAGTTTGCAAAAGATAATGACCAAGAAGCACATGAAAAGATACTCAAAATTATTAGTCATTGTGTGTGTGCTCAGTCATGTCTGACTCTTTGTGGCCCCATCGGCTATAGCCTGCTCTGTCCATGGAATTTTCTAGGCAAGAATACTGGAGTGGGTTGCCATTTCCTACTCCAGGGGATCTTCCCAACTTAGGGATCTCCTGCATCTCCTGCATCGGCAGGCGGGTTCTTTACCACTGCGTCATCTGGGAAGCTATTAGTCATTAGGGAAATGCAAGTCAAAACCACAATGAGGTGCCCCTTCAATGTCATTAGAAGGGCTATAATCCAAAAAATGGACGATACCAAATGATAGCAAGGATGTGGGGGAATGCGAATCCTCATACAGTGCTGGTGAGTAAAATGGGGCCGCTAGTATGGACAACAGTTTGCTCTTTCCTCCATCACCTGCGCCTGGAATTACTCCAGGGTCACGCCTATGTGTAGACCCAGAATAGTTGAAAACAGGCGTTCAAACCATAATTTGTACATGAATGTTCCCAGCAGCTGTAGTCACTGCTGTTTTCACAGAGGTGAAAACAACCCAAATGTCCATCAACGGGTGAAGGAATCGACAAAATGTGGTATACCTAATGGGAAATTACTCAGCCCCGTAAAAGAGAACAGGTCCATGCTACAACATGGAACCTTGAAAACAATGCTAAGTGGAAGAAGCTAGATCTGAAAGATCACATATTGGATGAGTCCATTTTTATGAACTGTCCAGAAGAGGCAAATCCATAGAGACAGAAAACAGATGAGCAGTGGTCAGGGGATGTGGGGAGGGGGGAATGGTGGGTGATGGCTACATGGGCACAGGGTTTCCTTTTGAGGTGAGGGAGGACTTCCCTGGTAGTCCAGTGGTTAAGACTCCACACTTCCAGTGCAGGGGCTCTGGGTTTGATCCAGGAACTAGATCCCACATGTCTCAACTTAAGACCCAGCAGAGCCAAAAAAAAGATAGTGATAATGGTAGAACATTGTGAATGTACTTATTGCCACTGAATTATACATTTTAAATGCTGACAACAATCAATTTCATAATATACAAATTAAAAATTTTTTTAGATGATAAGAAAGCAGAGATTTAAAAAATAATACACGTGAGGAGTTCCCTGGTGGCTCAGTGGTAAAAAATCTACCTGCCAATGCAGGAGACATGGGTTCAATCCCTGATCCAGGAAGATCCTGCATGCCCCAGAGCAGCTAAGCCCCTGGGCCACAACTATAGAGCCTGTGCTCTGGAGCCTGGGAGCTACAACTACTGAGCTCTTGAGCCTAGAGCCCACACTCAGCAACAAGAGAAACCCGTGCACAGCTAGAGAGTAACCTCTGCTCTCCTCAACTAGAGAAGAACTCTTGCAGCAATGAAGACTCAGCACAGCCAAAGATAAATAATTTTTAAAAGCATAAAAATATTCTGTGATAACTTATATGCATGTTCAGTGGCTTCAGTCATGTCCAGCTCTTTGCGACCCCATGGACTGTAGCCCACCAGGCTCCTCTGTCCATTGGATTTCCCAGGCAAGAATACTGGAGTGGGTTACCATTTCCTTCCCCAGGGCATCTTCCTGACCCAGGGATCTGGACCCCCATCTCTTATGTCTCCTGATGGGTAGGCAGCTTGTTTACCACTTGCACCATCTAGGAAACCCAACCTGAAGAATCTGAAAATGGAGGGATATATGTATATGTATAACTGAACCACTTTGCTATACACCTGAAATGAACACGACAGTGTAAATCAGCTACACCCCAATATAAAGTAAAAATTACATTAAAAAACATACATGCAATGTCCAAAAACAGTTAGGGAGGGACTGGTGGAGAGAAAGACTGGAGGGAGATCTGGGGAAATGGCAGTGGAGTGAGGCCCAGTCAAGGTCCCTGCTCTGAGGAGGTTTCTGAGAGCCTAGGGTAGACCCTGTGGAGATCTCACAGGTCTCTGAAGGATACAGACCCACCCCCAGGGTAGACAGGGCTGGGATGGCGGAAGCCCAGAGCAGGCATTCCACACAGCCTGCAGTTCAGGAAGGCTTCCTGGAGGACGAGAAGGATAAAAAGGGATCTGATAGAAGAGCTTGGATGGGGAGGAGTGTGGGTCTAGAGTAGAAAGGGAGCCTAGAATTTCTTTCTTTTTTTTTTTTTATATTTATTTATCTGGCTGCACCAGGTCTCAGCTGGGACACGTAAGACCTAGTTCCCTAACCAGGGATCAAACCCAGATCCCTGCATTGGGAGCTGGGAGTCTCAGCCTCTGGATCACCAGGGAAGTCCCAGGAGCCTGGAATTCCTAAAACACAGATCAACCTTGACACTCCCCTGATGGAAACCCTCCCAGGGCTCCTCAGTGCCTTTGGGTGAAAGTCCACACTCAGGAATTACCTGGCCTGAGTTCATTCAACGCACCCTCTCTGAGCACCTACTCCGAGCCCCGCCCTGCACCAGTATTGCTGGGATACAGTGGGAAGGAGACAGGACCCGCCCTGCCTTCACGGGACTCACACTGCAGCGGGGGAAGACAGGTGTGAAACAAACCATTTCCCAGGTGTTAGTCTGATGCCTGCTATGGGAGGCCAGGTGGAGTGAACCCAGCCCCCTGGGGGTTCCCCACTTTCATTATTCCTAAGGGGCTATTTCACAGTTTTTGCAGAGTACTGCCTCTGTTGTTTGTATCTTAAAGATCTGTTCTCTTATAAACGAGGTTCTCCTGTGTAGTGCGGGGAAGTGTATGCAATATCCTATGACAAAGCAATGGAAAGAAAAGTGAAAAAGAACATGAAAAAGAATGCCTAGGAGCTTCCCTGGGGGTGCAAAGAATCCACCTGCCAATGCAGAAGACACGGGTTTCATCCCTGATCTAGGAGGATCCCGCATCCCTCGGGGCAGCTGGGCCCGTGGGCCACGACTGCTGAACCTGTGTTCTACAGCCAGGGAACCACAACTACTAAAGCCCTGGAGCCCTGGAGCCTGCACACTGCAGCTGGAGAGTAGCCCCTGCTCTCCAAAACCAGAGAAAAGCCCTGGCAGCAACCACGACCCAGCATAGACAAAAATAAAGAAATAAAAATATTTTTAAAAACTCCTACAAAAAGAATGCCTATACATATCACTGAATCACTTTGCTGTACAGTAGAAATTAGTCTTGCTAAACCAACTCTACTTCAGTAAAATAAATTGCTAAAAATTTGTCCTTTCAACCAAGTTTTTTTTCTTCCTTTGATAGTTTTCCCTGGGGCTACCTTAGGCTCACACCAAGCTACAAAATTCACGAAGTCCAGTTACTTTTTTCCCAACATGCATCAAAATAAGTCACCTGGAAATCATCCCTAATGCTACTTTGGGAACCTGGTGACCTGCACTCTGGGGATTAAAGGACACCTTCCTGAAGGTAGCCCATTGTAAGCTAAGACTTGCAAGATAAATGGAGTTAGACAAGGGTGGAGGGGAGCAACAGGTGCAAAAGCCCAGAGGTGGCAGAGACAGGGAAAGAAAGCTGGTCAGGCTGCTGGCGTCTTGAGACCTCAGCTGCGTGAGGCTGAGGGACTGTGTGACCTTACATCAGGGGTTTCGAGTTTGATCTCAAAGGTCATACACAGTCATTGACAGGTTTGTTGTCATTGTCATTATTACTTGTAATTGCTATGCAATTCACATACCATAAAACTCACTTGTTTAAAGTGACCCATTCCAAGGTTTATTTATTTTCTTATAAGAACTTTAAAAAATTATTTTCTCTTGCAGCAAGCAGGGGTTATTCTCTAGTTGCAGTGCTCAGGCTTATCATTGCAGTAGCTTCTTTACTTTCGGAGCACAGGCTTTAGGGCACTGGGCTTCAGCTTTCGAGGCACATGGGCTCCAGAGTACAGGCTCAATATTTGTGGCACAAGGGCTCTGCTGCCCCAAGGCATGTGGGATCTTCCCTGACAAGGGATGGAACCGATGTCTCCTGCTTTGCAAGGCAGATTCTTAACCACTGGACCACCAGGGAAGCTGCTCCATGGCTTATTGTATATTCATTCACAGGGTTGTGCTACCATCATCACTATCTAGTTCCAGAACATTTCCATCATTCCAACAAGAAACCCTGTATCATTAGCAGTCCCTTCCTATCCCCCGCCCTCCCCACCAACCCTAGGCAACCACTAATCCGTTTTCTGTCTCTACCAATTTGTCCATTCTGCACCTCTTGTATAAATGAAATCCTACCATATATGGCCTCTGTGTCTGGCTTCTTTCACTTTGCATAATGTTTTCTTTTTATTTTTTAGCCCTGCCTCATGGCTTATGGGAATTTAGTTCCCTGACCAGGGATTGAACCTGGAACCCTGGAGGTCAGAGTGCAGAGTTCTAACCACTGGACCACCAGGGAATTCCCAGCATAATGTTTTCAAAGTTCACCTATACTGTAGCTTGAATCAGAATTTCATTCCTTTCTATGGCTGAATAATATTTCACTGTAGGGTCTCCCAAGGTAATAGAAATAAAAGCAAAAATAAATGAATGGGACCTAATTAAACGTACAAGCTTTTGCACAACAAAGAAAACCATAAACAAAATAAAAAGACAACCTGTGGATTGGGTGGAGAAGGAAATTGTAACCTACTTCAGTATTCTTGCCTGGAAAATCCTATGGACAGAGGAGCCTGGTGAGCTATTACAGTCCATGGGGTCAAAAAAGAGCTGGACGTGACTTAGCAACTAAACAACAACAACATGGATTGGGAGAATATATTCTTAAATGATGCAACTGACAAGGGCTTAATTTCCAAAATATATGAACAGCTCATACAACTTGAAAATAAAAAAAAAAAACCTATCAAAAAATTGACAGAAGACCTACATGGCATTTCTCCAAAGAAGATACAGATGGCCAACATGCACATGAAAAGATGCTCAACATCACTAAAAATTATCAGAGAAATGGAAATCAAACCTACACTGAGGTATCACCTCACACCGGTTAGAATGGCCATCATTAAAAGTCTACAAATAATAAATGCTAGAGAGGGTGTGGAGAAAAAGGAACCCCCTCGTGTTGGTGGGAATATAAATTGGTGCAGCCACTATGGAGAACAGTATGGAGGTTCTTCAAAAAACTAAAAGAAAATAAAACTAAAAATAGTTTTTATGATCCAGCAATCCCACTCCTGGGCCTATATCCGGACAAAACTCTAATTTGAAAAGCTACATGTACCCCCATGTTCATAGTATCACTATTGACAATAACCGAGACATGGAAGCAACCTAAGTGTCCATCCAGAGATGAATGGATAAAGAAGATGTGGTACATATATATACAGTGAAGTAGTGTGTGCACGCTCAGTCGCTCAGTTGTGTCCGACTTTTTGCAACTCATGGACTATAGCCAGCCAGGCTTCTTTGTCCATGGAATTTCCCAGGCAAGAATACTGGAGTGGGTTGCCATTTCCTCCTCCAGGGGATCTTCCTGACCCAGGGGTTGAACCCATGTCTCCTGCATCTCCTGCATCAGCAGGCAGAATCTTTACTACTAAGCCACTTGGGAACCCCATAGTGGAATAGTACTTAGCTATAAAAAGAATTAAATAATGACATTTGCAGCAACATAGATAGACCTAGAGATTATTATACAAAATGGAGTAAGTCAGACAGAGACACATATCATATGACATCACTTATATGTGGAATGTAAAGCATATGATACAAAGGACCTTATTTACAAAACAGATTCACAGACATAGAAAACAAACTCAGTTTTCCCCAACGGGAAAAGACAGGGAAGGATAAATTAGGAGTTTGGGATTAGCAGATACAAATTACTATATATAAAATAGATAAACAATAAAGGCCTACTGTGTGGCCCAGGGAACTATATTAAATATCATATGAGAAACTATAATGGAAAGAATACATACATATAATGGAAAGACTTAGCACGCATGCACACACATGCACATATATATATGTACTATATATATATACACATATATATATATGTACTATAGTACATATATATACTAAGTACATATACTACACTAAGTATATAACTATATATACTTATATATATATAAGTATATACTAAGTACATATACTATACTAAGTACATATACTATACTAAGTACATATATATACTAAGTACATGTACTAAGTCGCTTCAGTCATGTCTGGCTCTTTGCAACCTTATGGACTGTAGCTTGACAGGCTCCTCTGTCCACGTGATTCTCCCTGCAAGAGTACTAGAGTAGGTTGCCATGCCCTCCTCCAGGGGATTTTCCTGACCCAGGGGTCAAATCTGTGTCTCTTATGTCTCCTGCATTGGCAGGCATGTTCTTTACCACTAGCACCACTTGGGAAGCCCATATATATATACNGTCAGTCAATAATATTTTGCCACATGTGTTTTATCTCTTTTTCTGAATATTTGAGAGTCAGTGGCAGACATTCTGTCCCTTGGTCCCTATAAATACTTCAGCATGGAGCTACAGAACAAAGACATTCTCTTCAAAAGCCCCAGGACAGTCATCAACATCAGGAAATGTAACACTGATACAACAGTACGATTGTTTAATCCACAAATTCAAATCTCTCGCCTCACTTCAATAACGTCCTTTATAGTCATGTTTTCCCCCCGTATAGGGTCCCATCCTGGATTGTGCAATGGACTGAGTCACGTCGTGGAAAACTCTTGGGAAGGAAAGCATTTGATCAGCTTTACCCCTTCCTTGCCTCCTGTAGGCTGACTGGGGAGCAGGGATGGAGGGGTGAGCGGGGAATCAGGGAGACCAGGGAGAAGCTGGTGCTCAGTCAAGAGACAGAAACTCAGGAATCAGATAGATCTCGGTTCAAATCTTTGTCAGTCATTCCGTAACCGTGACCTTGGGCGACTGTGACCCTGAGGCGGTCTGAGCCTCAGTCGTCTCCTGGGGAAAATGGAACTAAGCCCTAGGCTCCCTGGGAGGACCGGTGATGTACTGAGCACAGGCTCAGCAGGTGGAGTCAGTCCCCCACCCCCATTCTGTCATGGCCATTCAGCCCTGTCAGTTTCCAGGACCAGAGCAGTGCCAAGTGCTTCAGTTCTTCAGACCAGGTTGCTTTTCAGATCCTTGCAACAAACACCTGTATAAGCAGATACTTTTATCACTAATCTGTAGAAGTGAGTCATTCTTTTTTTTTTTTTTTTCGGTCACGCTGCATGCAGGATCTTATTTCCCAGATCGGGGATCAAATCTGTATCCCCTGCGGCGGCAGCAAGGAGTTTTTTTAACCACTGGACCACCAGGAAAGTCACAGAAGTGAGCAAGATATCATAGAAGAGGTGTCTTACTCTATCTAGGATAATATAACAGAAGACCGTAGGCCAGGTAGCTTATAAACAACAGACATTTTTTTTTTTCCTTACAGTTTTGGAGGCTGAGAAATCCAAGATCAAGGTGCTGGCTGATTCAGTGGCTGGCGAAGTCCTGCTCCCTGGTTCACAAACAGCCACCTTCCTGCCATCTGCTCACATGGCAGAAGGAGTGAGGGCACCCTCTGGGGTCTCTTTTCCAAGGGAATTGATTTTATTCATGAGAACCCCCACTGTGATGAATTAATCACTTCCCAAAGGCCCTACCTCCATATAACATCACACTGGAGATTAGGTTTCAAGATATAGCTCTGTGGGACAAAGGGGGAACATAAACATTCAGTCTACAGCAGAAGGAAACTGAGGCACGGAGAGGTAATGTCAGTCCCCTTAGGTCACCCAGCTAGTTCACAGCAGAACCAGGATTAATGCCCAGACACTAATGCTCACCGTGCTGCCTGCTAAGTCTCTTTAGCCATGTCCGACCCTTTGTGACCCCATGGACTGCAGCCCACCAGGCTCCTCTGTCCGTGGGATTCTCCAGGCAAGAAGGCTACAGTGGTTTGCCACGCCCTCCTCCAGGGGATCTTTCCGACCCAGGGGTTGAAGCTGCATCTGCCGTGACTCTTGCATCGCAGGTGGATTCTGTACCATTGAGCCAAGGGGAAAGCCCAACCACTCACCACCCCCATACATATGGCTGTTGGGAGTCTAAGGCAAGAGACAATGGTGGTGCCTGGACCAGGGTGGAGGCTCCTAGAGACAGGAGGACTCACCCATAGGGAGGTAGAAGGGTGACTGCCTGGGAGGTGGGCTGAGACAGTGGGAGGGGTGGACTGATGGAGAAGAGCATTGGAGAAGAAACACTTCCTCACAGGAGATGGAAGAAATAAACGAAAGGCAGGGAAGCAGGAATCAGCCTGATCCTAAAGTAAGAGGGGCGTCATCAGTGAAAATGGGTGGAGGTGGGGTTGGGGATTTGAGATAAAGCAGCCCTGAAAGAGATCAAAGAGACCCACAGAAAGAAGTGAAGATTAAAATCAGAAAACAGGAACAAGGGGCCTATGAAGCAACTGGACAACGGGAATCAGACTTTCACTGACTCACGGGAAAAGAAGCAGAACTAGGAAGAGACGGCTCTTCTTTAAAGCTGGGAAAGACTGAAGGCAAAAGAAGGGGGTGGCAGAGTGAGATGGCATCCTGAGATGAGATGATGAGGTGGCATCACCAACTCAGTGAACATGAATTTGAGCAAACTCCAGGAGACAGTGAAGGACAGGGAAGCCTGGCGTGCTGCCATCCATGGGGTCACAAAGAGATGTGAGAGTTGGACCATAAAGAAGGCTGAGCACCGAAGAACTGATGCTTTCAAACTGTGGTGCTGGAGAAGACTCTTGAGAGTCCCTTGGACAGCAAGGAGATCAAACCAATCAATCCTCAAGGAAATCAACCCTGAATATTTATTGGAAGGACTGATGCTGAAGCTCCAATACTTTGGCCACCTGATGCATAGAGCTGACTCCTTGGAAAAGACCACAATTCTGGGAAAGATTGAGGGCAGGAGAAGAAGGTGACAGAGCGTGAGATGATTGGACAGCATCACTGACTCAATGGACATGAGTTTGAGCAAAGTATAGTGAAGGACTGGAAAGCCTGGCGTGCTGCAGTCCATGGGGCTGCAAAGAGTCAGACACAACTGAGTGACTGAACAACAACAAACTCTTCTCTGCTCTGAGGCTGCCCTTCTTCATCCCTCCTGGAGCCAGGCCCTTTGCCATGTGTTTTTGCAGTTCCTCCCATCAAGAGATAGAGTCTTTTTCCCCATTCCCTGAACTGAAACATACAACTTGTTTTCATCAGTAGATTACAGATTAAGCCTTAATAGGCTCTGAGTATTCCTCTTCTCTCTCTTCGATGTGAGAACATGCCTAGGCTAGCTTGCTGGAGGGATGTGAGGGAAAGGTAAAGAAGAAGTGAGTCATTCTAGCTGAAGTCATTTGAAACCAGCTAGTCTCTGGTTAACCCTGCCAGAAGACCATGGCAGA